TGGCTTTCACTCTGGCCGTGGTTGCTTCGACCATATATTTGCCCTTCGCCAAGCTTTATAGCAGGGACACATACGGATGACCGACCATGGTGGTTCACCTTGACTTAAAAGCCGCTTTCCACTCTGTTGATCGAGACCGCTTGTGACACTGTCTATCCATGAAGGGCGTGCTAGCTAATCTCCTTTCTATTCAGAAGTCCCTCTACGGTGATTCCCGAGGCCGTGTAAGGGCCTATAGGAAACCGTATCCTGAGTTTCCCACGACAAATAGAGTTCGCCAGGATTAGCCTACATCTCCTTTCCTCCTTAACTTTTTGATCAAAATGACCATGAAGGACCCCGTTCTTACAAAATATTCTGGGGTGGAAGTTCCGCCAGGTCACCGACTGACAAACTTGGAGTATGCGGACGACATCGTTCCCGTTGGGTCTGACGCACTGGCTATGCAAACACTACTGCAAAGACTTGTGCGTAGCGCTACGGGCTTCAGCATGCACTTTGGACCTACAAAATGCAAAGTACTGTTGGGACTAGGCCGATACACCTCCGGTTTTAGCTAACACCGAACAGCCAAAGATGTGGTGGATCGGTTAACTTACCTACATATCTATCATCTCCGGTAGTCACATCACGGAGGAAGTTATTTCGCGTATCAACAAGACCTGTATGGCTTTCCAGAAGCTCAACACTTTATGGAGATGGCGGGATATCAGTGGAAGGTGTGGTGAATAACGCCGCCGTAAGGCCAGTCTTATTTTATGGATCAGAGTCTTGGCCCATTCGCAGTGAAGACATTCAACGTCTGACCGTGTATGACAACCGATAATTGCGAAGCATTCATCACATTTGGTGGGAACATTAGGTGAGCAATGCTGAGGTCCACCAGTTGACTTTTGGCAAGAAGCCTACTGACACCTCCCGAGTGTTTGCCAAATCATGATCGCTTGCGTTGGCTCGGCCATGTCCTCCGTAGGCCTGTTGATCGGCTTCCTCTGCGTGCAGTATACGCCGTAGCTGCACCAAGTTGGGCGAAAACTTGAGGTGGCCAGTTTATGACATGGCATAGAAACTTGAATAAATTGACCGAGAGTTGGTCAGGCAGATGGGGGTTTCGGGACCGTCTACAACAATGGTTGGAGACTCTATCAGACATGACGCAGTCACAAAGTCAATGGCGTACCTGCATTTGGCTTCTTTTACCTGGTTGCTAATTTTCGTTCTATTCTGATTAGTCTAACGCATCTCCTCTTTGATTTCATCTCTACATTCTACCTGCATCCAACCACAGTATCCTACCGGTGTTATTTATTATTATCTTTACGAGGTGAGTCGTGGCAACTGGAGTCACTGAACTTCGGCGCTCGGATTATGGTTTACAAGCTGGACTGAACTGAGATTGTTCCGAAAATGCCTGGTGCACCCTATACCAGCTCCCACTAACACAGCTGCTATGCATTCCAGCCGTCCACCTTTTTCTATGATGTTATGTATCGGTAAACATTGATGCAAGCAGGTGACAAAAATGGGTATCATCAGTACGCTGGTACAAGTACCGACGCTTCGCTGCCGCGCAACCACCACCTGTCGCACGTGGGCTAAGGATACTGCTAGGGTCGTCCGGTCCCTATGCAGGCTCGAACCCGCGCTCACAGAACACAAGATAGGCTTGTGATCCTTAAGGTCACGGAGCAGCAAAGCATTCATGCTACCTGTCTATAGTAAAACGGCTCGCCTTAGTTTCAAGGAAATGCTAGGGGTAACCAATACCTATTGTCCGAGATGACTTCACTTGGCTGACAGGGACGATAAGTGAAAAAATGCATGAATTTGTAGTTTTCATAGGTATAGGGTACACGCAGCACATCAGCTAAGATCGACGGTTGTCAAGTCCTCAGAATGAATCACCTGTAATTTCAGGTAGTTAACATGCATAAGCGATTGTTATGGACCTAACCTGGGAACAACTCCACAACTTGTAAGTCGTGTCCAGTGAACGCGATTTCCATAGCTTTGTCAATAGCGGTTGAAGATGAAAGGTGACAGCAAGCATCCTTGCCTCCCACCGCTGGAGATATTGAAGGGCGGCAACAGCTTGCCGTAAGCCTTCGCTTTACCTGAATTACGCGAGTATAATGCTCGGGTAAGGTTTACATACTTAGCGGGCACACCTTTCCAGAGTAAACAGTCCCAAAGGGCACATCGATCAACCGGATACAAGGCAAGTTTGATGTCGAGGAACAAGACAATGGCGGGCCGCCGCTATTAGTGGCGGTGCTCCAACAACTGATGCAAGGTGAATATGTGGTCAACGCATTTCCGACCTTGATGAAACCCGACTTGCTACTCCCGAATCTGGCTTTCAGGAGCGCCAGTCAGTCTGCGAAGGATTACAGAGGCAAGTAAGTTGAAGGTGATGTGGCTCAGACGGATTCCTCTACAGTTGCCGCATTCTGAACGCGAGCCCCATTTAAAGATCGGGGAAATAACGGAGGTGCTCGTCGATTGGCATAGTTTCCTGCTTCCACTGTTTGACGAGTAACTCGCGGCCGATTACATTGCTTTTCAAAATGCCCAGCCCAATGCTCCAAGCGTTTTGAAAAGTTGTGAATATGCTGTCCACGCCCGTCATAAATAGTTGCACCAACACCAGGTCTCCTGCTATACCTTTGCCGTATCAAACAGAATAACCTGATGGTTACCGAGGGCAGCGCCCAGTTCTATCTCTGACGCACGCTGAGATCATCGGGATACGCGGTCCCTCTCCAGGACAGCACGGAGTTTTGCCCTCAAGTCTTTGAGAGTAACGTAGTGTTCGCTTCCAGCCGGAATGTGCCGGCGACTATAGATAAGTTCCAGAGACTGTAAAGAGGCACAATATCTATGTTGGCAAGTGGATTTATCAAAAGATGATTTACCTGTTTCTAGTAAGATCTGGTAAAAATACGACTAGTGACCTTCAAAGGTATTCAGTGAGCGCTTCCTCAACCCGAACGCCAGCGTACTCCGATACGCATTCAGAACACCTGGTTTCGCCAGTTGGCTGGTGTCTGCACTCACAGGGTCGTCGTGGGCAGCCGCCAAAAGGCACCCGCAGATCAGCACATACAACTGCATGGTCAGTGTCTACACATGCGCCGCAAATCGAGTGGCAGTTTTGGACGCAACTTCTCTAGCGATAACTGATCACATCGTGGTCGATTAACGTCCAAGGCTGGTGGGCGACATGCCACCTTCCGACGGGTCCTGTGTCAATAGTTCGGGATCGCAAGAAATAAGCGAACATCTTCACACTAATGAAGCAACCACTCACCGTTATAATTACAGGAACTTACACCATGTGGGTCGCCCAGATGCAGCTCATTAGTGGACAAGTACCCAACTTGAGCGTTCAAATCCCCAGTCAGCACTAAAGTGTCCGTGCTTCTTCTGTGGCGAAGGAGCTCGTTCAGTTGGCGACAGAAGTCCTCTTTTACCGTGTCATCGCTACAGTTTGTGGCGACGTAGGCAGTGATGACAAATAGGCACCTATTAGCCCCATGCGACTTCGAAGCTTTGAACGAGCCAGTCAGTCGTACCGCAAATATGCGGTCACTGATTGGGATGCAATCAATCAGAGGAGCTTCAGCCCGGGAACTCAGGGCAATACCAACACCGGCTTGGACAGTATTCGAAGCTGCATTGTCTCCGGATAGGCGCAATGAGAAAGCACTGCTAGTGTCATCTGAAGGGGATCGTAGAGTGAGAAGAGTGTTCGGGTCTTGTGGACGGGTTTCCCATAGGCAGCAGACATCGATCAAAAGGGTCTCTAATGTGCGGGCAAAGGATGCCTGTTGACTGATCTGCAACAATGTGCGCACCTTGAGGCATGCCAATATGAGGGAGGATCGGGGCTCCAAATGGAAGCCGGTGAATTGGGCTTGACCGCTTGGATAGACTTGAGCTTGTCGTTAGGGCAAGAGTGGCGCTGCGCGTGTGCATATGAGTGGAAACCAGAAAACAAACGACTATCAAAACATGGTGGGGGAGGACCAAGAATTGGTGCGTTTAAAACGAGGGGGATAAAAGTGTAGTACGGGACGACAAGGGAATACGGGAAGCTTTGAGCAGTAGCATCGAAACCCCTATCCACCCTGCTCGATGCAGCAGATGAAGCACCGTTGATTATCTTGTGAGGCAGCCAGAACATCAAGAAATTGATTGATGAAACAGTCATAATATTGCGTGGACGGGGTACTTAGGTTGCCCAGACCTAGAAAGGGGAACGATCAGTGTTGGCAAGCAGTCTTTGGTTGAAACCTGATCACAAGGCAGTAGTTTGGCAGTGGACTACAAGAAATCCCTTTCAAGGAATGGGTAGCCACTCAAACTCAAATCTGGAGGACAAGGAGATTGGGTTTGTTCGATATCTAACCATTGACCAATCTGGTATGAGTGGCTCTAAAGGTGAAAAAGTGCCGCACTCAGCATAGCTCAATGGATCGCTGGGACACGCAAATCACCGCTACAATCTCAGCTACAATCCATAAAGGAAAAAGACCAGGAAACTGAAGTGGTCTAGTCATTTAACGGGCTAAGCTGGTAGTGGCGTCCAAATTGTAGCACACTACTCACCGGTGGGAAGCTGTATGGCTACGGGCTATTTCGCAGCATCACTATCCCGCGTGTAACGGGCAGTCGTATGGCGGTGGAACGTCGATACGAGGTGCCGGCGTATTGCTTCCCTCTGCATACAGAATTGAATGACGCTCGATTCCGCCTTAACATGGAAAACATACGGCTACAGACCACTTCGTTGATATAACACGACTACAATCAACCAACGAAAAGCAGACTACTTACGACACTCGGCAAAGAACCTTAGTAAAAGCAAAAAGATACAAGGGGGGGAAATCCAAGTTCGTGAACATAGCAGGCAAAAAACCAGTAAATCATTCAGTAAAAACTGCGAAAGTAATTAATTAATATAAATGAAACGATGATCGGAAGCACAATAAATTCACCTTTACTCTTGATGCGATGATTTCCGGATGCTTCCAAGAGCTGCGAATTAGTGGGCACGGCACGTCTCTCTAGGCCGGAGTATACGTAACGAGTAAATGAAAAGTGAGCCACAATTTTCGATAAGAAAACAGAGCCAACAAGCGTCGTGATCAGCTGAAAGCCGAGAACAGCCATAGTCAAATGGGTAGACTTTTTCACTCGTGTATAGAAGAATCAAATTTTCTCTTATTCGTTGCGAGGTTTGTTATCAACGCGAAATAGTCAATTACGCAGAGACATTTTTTAAGCAGTGGCGTCAAGTGGTCTCAGTGGGAAACAAGTAATTCCATTGAGCAGTAAGTCACACAAAAGTCCATATGTTAAAAGACACGTATTAAATGCCGCAAAAGTGCAAATAGTACATGCCTCTTGTATTGCGTTCAAACGCAAACTCGTGGACACCACTGTATTGGTATGATATAACGACAGTACAGGTGCATCGCAAACGGAGGCAAAAGCATACAGCAGTTACGAACCCAGCTACCAATTTTGAAAAAGCGATCAAGATCCGTCCAGTTATTTGATACTTTCGTCCATTTCCGAAGTCCAACAGGGTCCAAATGCGTAAGAAGTTTGAAGGTGGAGACACACCGCAGTGTACGAAGATGAAAGTTAGTTCCTAGTCGTCAAAGCCGAGACCAAAATGCCTCAAGAGAGGACACACACAGAGGGTTATTTCCGTAACAGCTTGACCTCCGGTTCAAGGTCAAGGCTAAAATCTAGGTCAAGTTCCGGTTCAGGTCATATCATCAACGTAAGCTTTATGAACTCTAATGGTTCATTATCACGTTTACATTGCCACTGTGGACAGCTGGCGGATAATTGCAATATGCAAGCTTGGTAGAAAAGTGGGAAAATACTGAACTGTTACCACAACATGTACTGGCGCAACAGGTTAGGAAAATTTGCTGTGTCAACAAGCAAACGTGGGAGATACGGCAAACAGTATTATGATACGAGGACGTGCGGGAAAACAGAATGCTGGCTTTCGTACGAGTAGCAGTAAAACAGAGTGTTTTGAAAGATCATTGTGAAATGGATGAAACTAATCGAGCTCAAGTTCAAGTACAAGTGGGACCGGAACGATAGGATGAAGCCCGCAAATATTCCTTCTTAAGCGGGTCGTCGATCCAGGAGTTGATGGAGATGCTCCGACTTCTTGAGGGGTCTAAAAGGAAAACACCCGAAAAAACACGCTGGTCCAAACATTTAATGCCCACGTTCCTAACATTAGCTATCCCAGCTAAGTCAGTTGCGTGAAGTAAGTAAGAGGAAGAAAAAGCGAAGGTAAGATAGTAGAGGAAATCAGTTAAAGGAAGAGAACAATGCCAATGGCGAGGAAAAGTAAAGAAAAACTCATCGATGTCTGAAGATGGGAATTAGTCAGGAAAAAGGGAAGGTTTCGTGTTGCCCCCCAAGAGCATCTAGTTGAAGCTCAAAACCCTTAACCGTAGCTTCCTTGACAACCTTTTCTGGAAGCAGGTTCTAGCGCTCGATGAATCTACTTGACAACCGTGGTTCCGCTCTAACTCGATCGGACGGCGGTTTGTCCAGCTTTATACAATGCCCGCGGAGACCAGCTAATCTAGCTGGATTATATAGCACGGACAAATCAGGGCCAATCTTCCCAGTCAACATACAGTAGGTTAGGATTAAGTCCCCTGTAATCCTTCGATAGTGCATTGACTGCATCCCCAAACTAATTAGGCGTTCGGGGTACGGTTGCCCCCGTAATCCCTTGACCAACCTAGTACCGACACGCAGCACCCATTCTAGTGCCAATTTGGCCCGGACAAGGCTCGGTGGACAGGCCTGGACACAATATTCTAGGTGGGGTCGCACAAACGCTGAGAAATGCTTCACAAACACATCAGCGGTTAGGGTCCCAAAAGAAAGAGGGATAAACCACGACATCCGGAAGCCTTTAATAGCCGCCTTCCAGTTGTCTCCAGAGTGTAATGTGGAACAGTGGACGACACCTAGATCAACCTGATGAACCACGTGAGGAAGCTCACTCCCATCGAGCACATAACTTGTGGAGGAAGCAGACGCTCCGATACGAAGCACTGAACACTTTGCCCGGTTTATGGGCAGCAAACACAAGATGGACCATTCCTAGAGTCTATCCAGAGCCCGTTGAAGGGCCACAGGACCTCCATGGATATCGACAATATTCCAGAGTTTTAGGTCGCTAGCAAATAAGAGCGATGGCACCTCAAGCTCCTCCGGCAAGTAATTCACGTAGATAGAAAAGTAGCGGACCTAGGACAGAGCCTTACGGAACGCCGCTTAGTACAGATTGTCGAAACGAAAGACAGCTTCCCATACGAATACACTTTTCGCGTCCATCTAGAAAAGCTGACACGCACTGGAGAGCGCGACCAGCTATTCCATACGACCTCAACTTTAGTGTGAGTCGCGAATGAGGGATAGTGCCAAAGGCCTTGGCGAAGTCAATGAACACCACATCCACCGCATGTCCACTGTCCACGGCTTCAGCCCAGCTCTCACGAGCTACCAGCAAGTTCGTCTGACACGAAAATTCTTTGCGAATACCATGTTACTAGATGTAAATCAGGTTAAACCTATTTAAATGGTTCTCCACTGTATCTCGTACTAATTTTTCAAGTAACTTAACGACCACGCTAGTCAATCTGACAGGCCTGTAATTAGCCGGTATGTCTTTGTCACAGCACATGAAAATCGGAGAGACAACAGCCTCCTTCCATTCGGTAGGCAAGATACAGCTGTTGAGTGACTTCTGAAACACACAAGTCAGAGGTCCCCTGAGTTCCACTGCCAATTCATGCAACAATTTTAGATGAACGGAATCTGGCCCGGAAGCCTTAGTTGGATTTTCCTGCCTTAGCAACCGGAGAACTTAGGACTCAGTTACAGGAATTTCATCCAGACAACAGTCCTCAGAGACTCTTGAAGGTAACTCTGCATGGCGTCTTTGTTTCACGGACAAAGACGCTTAAGTACTGCTCACCAAGCGCTCATGCCTTGTCAAAGTCGTTATAGGCCTGGGTCCCATCCCCTCGAAGCAATGGTGGTATGGGCGAGTTTGCATCCCAGCGTCGTTTAAAGTAAGCGCCTAATTGCTTGGGAGGTTTCGAGGCAGTATTAGCTAAGCCCTTTTCATACTGAAGCCGGGCCAAAGTAAGAGGTATCTTGCACGTATTTCGAACCAACCGATACTTGTCAAACCTGCTGTTCGACGGAGCTGTTCGGTGCGCTCTCCAGCATTTAGACCGCTTCTTTAGCAGGCCCTTCCCCGCGGAATCTGTCCACGGAGGCTGCGCTCTCGATTCTCTTCTTTTTACTAGAAGGATGTGAGATGCAGAAATGTCGACAAGGTGAGCCTTAAGTTTTTCCCAGGCTATGTGAATAGTATCGGTCTCAGATATCACACAAGGCGATGACCTAACTTTATCCCACATCGCTTGGAATTCCGCGGCCCTAATTACTCGGATACCAAGTGGTAGTAGCTTGGCAAGGTCTGATAAGAGCACACTGGAAAGACAAGCAAACATGATCGTTTGCGCCAAGGGGCGAGTCGTATTAAATGTCATTTGTTAAGTCAAGTGTCTTAGCAAGAACACGATCTATAATGGACGGCTGCTGATTGCTCCTGTAACTAGTGGGGAGGTCCACGAACTGGTGTAGTGGTACCTGCAGCGTCAAGTCCAGCAGTTCTGCACCGAAAGATTTCAGAGCCGAACTGTAAGGGAGACCATTCCAACAAACCTCTGGGAGGTTGACGTCTCCCAGCACCAGACACTTGTTCGCAGAGTGCGTGCGTATAAACTTAATGATTCCATTGGAGGTGCTCATAGGGCTTCTATACACTAACACGACCATAGCCTGAACCGAGGAAGCGCAAATCAAGACTGCTCGAGCCTCAACAGATTTGTCAAGAGACTGAAAAACGCTGGTCTTCAATACATCGATGTGATAACTCACATAAAGAGCTACACCACCCCTTGACAGCCAGTGGAGCGGTCGGCGCGGAACAGTGCCTAGCCAGACAGATATACTTCGCCATCTGTGATTTCCTTAGACAGCTCCGTTTCAGTGAAAGCAAGTATATCCGGATGAGATTTGTCTACGAGCAGACCCACCTCGCACATATTGTTCCTCAGGCTACGTATGTTACTAAGTGCTACTTGGAGGGCTTGGCAAGACCAGCCCTGGGTCGTGTGCAAGTAGAATAGGTTTTGCAAGTACGGAAAAGGACCGCCGGCTGACCACCTGAAAACCCACTAATCGGAGACCTTGCGCGTTAGCTGCACTCCTGGTTTATAGGTCCCTGATGGCTTCCTTACACTTTAACCTATCCGCTAAGGGAAGGTCTGGTTGCACACTAACGTTGGTATTTTTGAGCTTGAAGGCAAATCTCAGTGAGGCGCTGTGCTATTCTGGGGTGGAGAGGACAAACCTAAGCAGACGGGGTAGAGGATTTGGTTGACCAACCGGAACGTTCCCCAATCTGATGAGCTTCCTGACAGTAACGGCAGGAAAACCTGGTGGCAAAAGCCTGGTCACACAAACTTTAAGCCAGCCAAGCCAATCAAGCTTGCGCTTGGTGGGAAGAGCGGCAGTGGATTCAGTGACGTTCCTGAAAATCGCACTGCTGTCTGTGTAAGAACCGCCTCGACGAGGTGTATTTACACCACATGCTCTACCATCCACGCCACATGGTTTTTGACAGGAATCGGTGGGACCGAAGGCGACGGCACCTCTTGTCTCACTGAGGGAATTACAACATCAGGTGAGGCTTCCAACTCAGAAGCTTGTTTCTTGAGCATTTTATCACCTTCCGGTTTGGGGGCGGAGGGTTTACCCACTTGCGCTTATTCTTGCATAGCCTAGGTGCCCACGAATCGCCTTCCATTTGGGGCGGGTCAACAATGTCGTCCGCAACGTCTGTGTCAGTTATATCCAAGTGAACTGGAGCGTCCGGTGGGATGAACACCTTGTCAACGGTTAGACTGCCAGCAGAAGGACAGTCGGTTACAGCGTCCATACTCACAATATTCAGGGATTTCATAAGCAAAATCCACTTTAGAGCTGAGCGAGGCAAGCGAGACAAGCTCCGCTAATGGCTACTCAACAGCTGTGAACCTGGATGTTAGTGCTTTGAATTCAGCACAGGTGAAAGCCGGGAGCTTCTCTTGCTGAGCGCAACAACCAGCACATCTGAACAGAAGGTTTTCACTGGATGATAGCATATCGTACTGATTCGCTCGGAGGCCAGTACAACTTTGTGATACCAACGAACGCAAACCTCACACGGCATACCACCAGACGCATCCGTAACTGGCCTTGAACAGGCAGAATGCCTGCAAGTTGAATTTGATTCATCAACAGAAGACGCAAGGGGTTCATTCGCCTCGGTGTTTCGCGAGACGACCATGTTTAAGTAGAAAAAAGAGCAGAATTTAAAACCCGTATACAGCCGTAAAATCGACCACAATAAAAGGCAACACAGGGTGTAAAACAGGATTAAGAAAGGGAACAACCGCGAAAGTACCAGTAAGCGTCAGGAAGACGCTTTGGCCAGTACCACTTTAGTCAATCCAAGGTA